TTGGCAAAGACATATAGATAAGTGGAGCAAAATAGGGTCCAGAAATATACTCAGATTGTGCACATTTTTTTTTTTTACAAAATTGCCAAGGGAATTCAGTAGGGAAAGAAAAAAAACCTTTTCAAACTAACAGCAGTGAGTGAAAATAACAAACAAAATTTAAAAAGAGCAGCAAGTAACATTTTGAGTTTAACAATCAAAGTAAACTCAAAATGCCTAATCAAATTTAAAATGATCGAAGTTCTGAAAGAAAATATAGGAAATCTTTTTGACCTTGGGCCTAGGTGAAGGATTCTCAGAAAATATACAAACTATAAAAGAAAATGAATTGGTGAGTTGGTCTTCAACAAATTTAACCGTTGTTCTTCAAAAGATACCATGAAAAAGRCAAGAGCAGCCGCCGGGAGGAGAAAACATTGGCAGTGATTCCATCAGACATAGGGTTTGTATTGAGAATACGTAAAGGACTCCTGCAACTCAGTCATAAGACAGAAACTTCAAAATAAGTGGATTTGAACCAGCCACTTCACAAAAGCTATGAATGGCTGGTAGGAACATGACGTGTGACTCAACATTTTCAGGAGATGCTGATGTCTCGTTTGAATGGGCAGGTGTGCAAAGTCTCAGGCATTAACCCAGGACCTGTCTCTAAATTCCAAAAATAATGGCACACTTCCCTGGTCAGCCAAATCAGATCCGTCCATTCATAAGACTCCGTGCAAATTCCTTAGAAGGGGGGCTTGCCAGTACCAGAAGCATCCCTCTCCATACCTGCCTTAATTGCCTGTCACATGGTCACCCAAGGGCCATTTTCTTGCCTCTCCATGTAGAGTGGTTTGCGGTTTCTGCTCCAGGCTTTCTATCCCATCTCTTGAGACAGCATTATTTTTTCAAGTCTTAGAGAGTCCGTTATTGCTTGTAAATTTTGTTTCCCTAAAAATTATGACACAACAGGTGCCTTCGTGCACACCTACAATCCCAGAAACTTGGAGGATAAGGCAGGAGGATCTCGAGTTCAAAGCCAGCCCCAGCAACTTAGTGAGGCCCCAAGCAACTCAGCAAGACCCYGTCTCTAAATACAATATTAAAAAGGGCTGGGAATGTGGCCCAGTGGTTAAGTGCCACTGAGTTCAATTGTCAGTAACCAAAAAAAGTAAAACAAAAACCAAACAACGACAACAAAACTCTGACACTAAATTCTAGGGTTTTTTCTTTGGGTTGGGTTGTTTTTCCCCTTTGTGTGTGACCCCTTTTTTCTCATTAATGACTTCAGACTGAAAAACATTTTTTCAAGACTTACTTTCCCTACAAGCAGTCAGGCAGCTGGCATCTGGCAGATACCTGGTGATTGCCCTTGGAATAATGAAAATGGCAGGCTCTACCCATCACAGGAGAATGACTTTGTCCTCACCTCCTGATTTGGAAAGGTTCCCTTATTCTCATTCCTGGCCGAACACTATCATCACCTGGGAGCATTCTAAAATTAGCAGGATCTGGCCTCCACTCCTCAGATGATGGCTCAGGTGGTCTGGGATGGGCCCAGCAGGCACCRGGCAATTCCAATCTGCAGTGAGGCTTCAGAGCCGCTGGAAGGTTAATGGTGAGAATGGCTGCCTCCTCCCAGAGCTCTGTGTGCATCTCCCAAATCAGGTCAGTACCATCTCATCACAAAATTCTTATCCTGAGGCTTCTACTTACTTTGCATCCCAGCATCATTCCCACAGACTGTAGCTGTTTCCAGGAGAACAAGGGAGGGGAAAGAAGAGGGAGGTGTGACAGCCGAGGATTGCCCTCTTCCCTCAGGAAATGCACAGTCCCCAATCCTCAGACTTCCCCAGACAATTCTGCTTATGCTATTAATTGCCACCGTGAGCCCATTCTTAGACTGTGCAAAAAAAAAAAAAATCCTACTACTTAAGCCCCATTGGAATTCCAAATGCTGAATGTGTGGAATATGGTATCCAAGAGGATATGTCTCTATCTATGTACGTATATGTACATAGAAACAGTCACCCACCATATGATGACATTTCAGTATGGATGGATGACATATATAATAATGGTCCCAGAAGATGATAATGGAGCTAAGAACTTCCTAGTGATGCTGTACCATTCTAATATCGTAGGGTTTGTATAAAAGTATAATATATGTAATTATGTGCAGCACATAATACTTGATAATGTTGCTGGTTTACGTATTTACCTTTATCATTATTTTAGAATGCAGTCCTTATTAATAACGTTTGCTGTGAACCAGTCTCACACTTCCTGTGTTTATCACCTATCTTGATGGCATCACATGGAGTGATTGACAAGATCACGTAGGTTTTGGGGAGCACATTCCAGGATGTGTACACAATGACCAGATTGCCTGTGACCTGACACACAATCCTCAGAAGGTATGCCTGTAGTTGAATGACACATGACCATAAATAAAAACAGRATGTGCCAATAAAGATACATATATGGAAAGAAAGGGGGGAAAGGTTTTAAGGAATTGTCTCATGTAACTGTTGGGGCTGTTCATTTGGACAGTTTTAGGATTGGCCAACAGACTGGAAATTCCCGTAGGAGTCTATCTTGCAGTATGAAACCCAAAGGCAGCCAGGGGGCACAATCCTTCCCTTCAAGAGGTCTTGGTCTTTTCTCTTAAGGCTCTYAACTGATTGAATGAGGCCTCCCCCATGATGCAGGGGCATCTCAAAGCATGCTGATTGAAATGTCAATTTCATCTGAAAAATACCCAAGGCAGGAAAATCACTTGAGCCCAGAAGTTTGAGCCAGCCTGGTRAGACRCTGTCTCAAAAATAAATAAATAAGCAGCATTTTGTCAGTGAGGTGTACAGATGAACCAAGAGACATTGATGGACATACCGACATGGGCAAATCAGAGTAAACAGAAATGTAACATGTGCAAATGTGGCTTAGTCCTTGCTCTTGCTCTTCTATATTAGCTGTGCCTCTCCTAGATTCAGTTTCCTTCCCATCTCTCAAGGACCAGATAACTATGCTTTAGAGAATTTACAGCTCTAACGGCCTATGGATCCTGTCTGGGTTGGAGGAACAAGTAATAAAGGGAGGGGGAGAGAGAGATGGGAACCTTTCATTTAGCTACATTAATCAGTTGTATTTTAAATTTATCTTGGCAGGGTGTGGTGGCCACGTTTGTAATCTCAGTGACACAGGAGGCTGAGGCAGGAGGATCCCAAGTTCMAGGTCATCCTCAGCAATTTAGCAAGATCCTGCCTAAAAACAAAAAATTAAAAGGACTGTGGATGTAGCTGAGTGGTGAAGTGCTCCTGGATTCAATCCCCGGTGCAAAAAAAAAGAAAAAAAAGAAAGAAAAGAAAAGAAAGAAAATTCACCTTGTATTAGTTTACAGTAGACTACTTTCAATGTTTTTTTTTAAAGAGAGAGGGAGAGAGAGAGTTTTTTAATATTTATTTTTTARTTATCGGCGGACACAACATCTTTGTTGGTATGTGGTGCTGAGGATCGAACCTGGGCCACACGCATGCCAGGTGAGCACGCCACCACTTGAGCCACATCCCCAGCCCTCGACGTTTTTTGTTTTTTTTTTTTTCTTGAATGTCTACCCAGCATCCAGGTGCAGAGCTTAGATGGGGTAGCAAACAATTGTGTCTACACCACAACATGGTAAATGCAATCAAGCTGAGTGGTGGGGATGACTAGGAAGGGATGACTGGCTTCAGAGCTGGCTCTAAGTCAGGCTTAATGGCAAGTGTCTAGGATGGGCAGAGAGTGGGCAGAATAAATCCTATTGACTACTAACCCTTATCTTCAGTTGCTACCACATTGACTTAATAAAAAAAWTTKGG